TATCAAAGTCCCATATGTCCTTTCATTACACTCAATGCCTGCTTTAATCATGTCATTTCGAACTTCTTCTGCAAATGCTACTCTTCCTGTTTTGCATAAACCGTTAATGATTGAATTGTATGTTATTGTGTTTGGCAAAATACAATCTCTTGACATTACTCCCATTTTCTTGACAAGCTTCAAGGCAAGATCCAAGTCACCCATCTTGCAAGCTCCATCAATTATCATATTAAAGGTAACAACATTAGGCCAGATCCCACGCTTTAACATCAAATAAATTACCGATATCCCTTCTAATAATTTCAATTCCTTACAAAGAGCATATATGACCAAGTTAAAGGTGTTTATATTTTCGATATATCCACAAGCCAACATCTCCTTATACAGCTTCCAAAATCTATCAATCTCATCAGACTTCAAGAGATGACTCATAAAGTTATTCCAAGCATGAATTGAAACCCAGCAACCTTCCATTCTCAACTTCTTGATCACTTCATAAGCGCCATCAATGGCTCCAATTTGATTACAAGCCTTAACCAGTGTATCAAAGACAGCAGGAACTGAATGGCAAGTTTCATAACTTCTAACCAAAGCATCCAAAACTTCCAATGGTGAAACACCATTTACAAGCATCAACTTCCTCATAAGGCATAAAGCATCATCGAATCTCCTCGAACAAACTAAGACATGACATATTGTACAACAAGATTCTAATGAATGAAAAAAACCCGCTTTCTCTGCAACCAAAGTGTAGAACTCCAGAGCTAACCGTGGCGAGTCGCGAAACTCCCAAATAACTTGATTCACCAAAGAATTGTTGAGATTTGGCAATGTCTGTTGCAAGATTTTCCATCTCCTTTGTCTTAAACTTACACAAATAGCTCGAAAGACAATATCCTCAGTTCTTGGATTGGAGAATTGCTTGCCCACGTGAAAACCTCTGCTTAAAATATTACTTCTTTTTAGAAAACAGCGGCCTAAAAACATATCGTGCTTAACATTATCGCTCTAAAATCTTCTACAACTGATTGAAATAAAGAACAAAAATATCAGCATAGAATCAAGACTCATCTCAAAAAAAAAAACAAAAGAGGAATCTGCTTCAGCTTTCAAATATCGTTGAACGACCACTTGTTATACACAGGGAAGTTAAAGAAAACTGTTTACCCACTTGGAATATAGCTAGTTAGAAACCGAATCACTTGTAAAAATAATAACAGAATCTGTAAGAAATATATAAATAGAATAAGGTAATGCAAGGATGCCTACCTATCTATGTTCTATCCTTATCCCTCAAGCCTTCTCTCCTTCTTCACCTTTTTCTTCTTTCTGCCTTCACCTCTCTAATCTTCTATTTCTCTTCTTCTTCTCTCTAATCTCTCAATCTCTATGAATGTCCAGCATATACAACTCTCCTTGCATCAACTAGCACGTACCAGGCCAAAGTGCGACGAGCAGGGCTGCTAGCTGCGACCGTGAAACTGATAGCCGAGAGTCCTAGAAGCAGGGGAGAGGAAACGCGAACGGAAGGGATAGAGGAGAGCCAGATGAACGGACAGACAATTAACACTGTTAAATGTTCAAAAAAGCCCCCAAAATTTTCTGTGTTCAAAATAGTCCTTTTACTTTTACAAAGTGTTCAAATAAGCCCCCCTAGCGTTAAAGCAATTGACACCGTTAAATATATGTACATGTGCAAGCTGACAAGGCAGGGTCTTTTAATTTTTGCCACGTAAGCATCCACGTAGGCGACTAAGCCCAAACCAGATTACATTCCTCTCCTCCCCTTTCTTTCCCCCGAAGCTTCATCAAGCTTCCTCTTTTCCCTCTGCAACACGCCTTCTTCCTCTGCAATACGCCTTCTTCTTCCTCTGCAATACATCACATTATAGCTTGTACGTCCATCCGAAAGCCAAAGAAAGCATAAAAAAGGCTTCCTCCTTGCCTTGGGACGTCGGAGAACCAGAAACTTCATGAAGCTCCTACCTTTTGTTCTGCAACAGTGACGAGGAAACCCGAATAGATGTTTTGTATCAGTAAGTTTTCTCCTTTTCTCCATATTTCTGCAACAAACACACGTTCAGGAAGATTTTTTTTAAAAAAACCCAACCTCAACAGACCTGCAAGTAATCTTCTCTCTTGAACTCAATTTACCTGCTTGAGAAAATCAAATATTGGTAGTCATTAGCCTAGGGCCTGCTTAACTTTCATTTCCTACAACCTTATATGTATATATGTGTTTTAGATTAATCTAATTATAAACTATATCATGAAATAAGATTACTTTTCATAACAATACATACATGTGTGTGTGTGTGTGTGTGTGTATATACACAACACATATGCTCATTCAGATAATTACATATGACCAGCAAGAAAATATTACATGGATTTAAAGAGTCCTTGAAGCATTTTGTCAAGCACATTATGAGCAGCCTCTGTATACTCTTCATTGACAACAAACTGCAGCCTGTACATCTCTGTAAATTAACTAAACAACACCAATTATCACCAATAGGATTAAAATGCAAATAAAAGTTAAACATGAAATTAAATGTAAAAATAACAATATAGTAAGAATATATTATTTGATGGATCATACATAAAAATGACCTTCGAAATTGGTAGTCTTTATGCATTTAAGAAAAATTAAAATGCATATTTTACAAAATTAATCGATTATGAAATATAATTGGGTTAAACATCAACCTATTTTCTCACATAATCCACCATTTTTAAACATGAATGAAGGTATCCAATATATTGGGAAGCTCAATACAGTCTAGAACAATTGCCTAGAACCATACAATTCATGTATATGCACTTGCTTTACCTCAAGAGACCTTTAGTTTGGAGGAACTAACTAATAAATGCAAGAAGTCAAGATCTTTGTGTGTGACTAGAAATTCTATATAAATTGGTGTAACCATGTTCAAGTACCAAAGCCAAAACAGACAAATTCATTTCTCCATTTTCCTTTAAACACAACTGTGCATAAACCTATCTATTGCCATGAATTTGTTTCCTTTTTAAGTCAAGAAGTACCAAGAAAGGAATGCCTTGAACACTACATTCCTTTTCTCAATCTTTCAAATAATAATCCATTTGGTATTTGCAAAAACAATACATATCAATACAATTAAAGCAAAAATAATAACATGTAGAGCACATCATGACCAGCAAGAAAATATTACATGGATTTAAAGAGTCTTTGAAGCATTTTGTCGAGCACATTATGAGCAGCCTTCATATACTCTTCATTGTCAACAACCGACAGGCACCTATACATATATCTAAATTAACAAAACAACACAAATTAGGAAGTAAAATAAAAACAAAACGGTAAGCATGGGAATTAAATGTTAAAACAACAACACAGCGAGAATATATTATTTGATTAATCCTATATAAAAATCACACTTTCTAAATTGACAGCCTTCTGTAAAAAATAAAAAATGTGTACGTTACCAAATTCATCAATTATGAAATATGATCTGGGCTAAAGATTCACCTATTTTCTCACCCCAAGATCCGGATTCTTGAATCTTTCCTTGATGCAGGTTCAGTCGTGTTGCAGAAATAAAGAGGAAAATTCAGGTTTGCAGATTGAAGAAGCTTCAGATTGAGGAAGCTTCAAAAAAGAGGAAATGAGAAATGTGGAAGCTTATTGAACAGAAGCTTCAGGTTCTGCAAGATGCGTTGCGGAGAGAAAGGAGGAAGGTTGATGAAGCTTCGCATTTTCTGGTTCTAGTTTCGAAGTCCGCCTGCAGTTCTTGCAAGCTTTTTGCCTTTTCTTGTTTTGCTGAAGAATCAGATATGGAGTAAGAAGGGGAAAGACGGGGGAGAAAATATATGTAAACGTGTTTAGATGTAGGGGTGCCCATATCAGCGCCATTTAGACGCCAACATGGACGTCCACGTGAATGCCACGTGTCAAAAGATCCTGCCTTATCAGCCTTCACGTTTGCACCCATTTAACGGTGTTAATTATTTTAACAGTTTGGGATTTATTTGAGTAATTTTTTTAGGTAAACTATTAGTTTATTTAGTAAATTACTTGTCAATAATTTTTTTTAATTTTATTTTTAGACTTATCAGATTATCTTAATTTTAACAGAAAATAAAAATTAACTTTTTTTTTATTTTAAGGGTATTTTATTTCTTGTAGAATCTTAAAAAATTATTATAATTAAATATTTTATTTCTTATAAAAATTTAGAAATTATAATAATTAATAAACTAACCTTAATTAACTTAGAAATAATAATTAATTAGTTTTATTTAAATTATGCAAATAATTTGCTATTTTATTTTTGAGATAATAATGTCTTCTTCTTTTTACTATTTAGAACCATTAACTAATTATACTTATTATTTAATTTGATTCATTATCATATTATTTGAGTTTGTCACAATTAATTTTTGAGTTATTATTTTATATTGATATATTTATTTTTTTTTGTTTTTTTTATGAGAATGAGTGTTAATTTAATTAAAAGTGAAAAAAAAAATTAATTTAATTGCTTCAAATAAAAAAGTTAAAAATGAATTTTGATACAAGAAAGTTGGAATTTAATATCATACCACTATTTTTTTTTTTTTAATAAATAGCACTCGAGACACAAATCGAATATATAAAAATGTTATGTCATATAAATTAAATGTTATTGACACATTATATTATACTTTATACTAAAATTATTTGTAACAATTGTAAATCATAATAAATGCTGCAAAGTTAAGACCAACATGGTTTTTTGCTTGGCTGAGCCGGGGAGGTTTTCTCACCGTCGCCTGAGGTCTTCTCACCACTGCCTATGAGTTAAAGTTTCGTGCCCGGCTCCCAACATGTTCCGATAAATTAGCTATCGCCAGAAAAGGTTTTAGTGAGGGAGAGTAGAAAGAACATAATTATGTCGATTCCATGATCCATCTTAGTTGCCATATCCAAGAGTACCCCATGCCTAACGCACAATACGTCGATATCAACATAAGGGGCAGGAAAGGAAGCTTACCACCAAATATATGAGGATGTAAAAACTGAGCATATATCTCGATAACTAAAAGACCAAATACGTAGCTCTTTCTAATCCATCCAATATCAAACCGGAGTCTTTCATACTTGACTCCCACATTTTCCTCATTCGATTCCCATTCAGCACTTTTTTTCTTGGTATTCACTTTACTAGCTGCGTCCCTACTGTATTGTGCAGAAAATCCAAGCCATGTTACAATGGGATGTAAGAGCAACAATAGCACTTTAACTGGATATTCTTGGGCTTCATATAGAAGTGGGAATAGCGAGTAACAAGACACTGCACGTGATAACACAATCATAAATAGTATTAGAACATGAATGGATGCCAAGAAATCAAGGGATGACAGTTTAAAAAGTTACAAAATTTACTTCCTTTTTTTCTGGTTTTAGGCTTGGTTAGAGCTAAAGAAGAAACCAAACAATGCACTAGTATAAGCTTAACAAATTTGGGAAGGACAAAAAAAAAAAAAAAGAAAGAGAAAAAGGACCTATAGATATAAGGACATTAAAAAGGAAGAGATGGCGGCATGGTCCACAAACTCTTGGAGAACATGCATAGGCCAGGCTCAATAGCATTTACGCATATGATAATAGCATATTCCAAACAACCCAACCAAATCATCATTCCAAGGAGATGTAAGAGAAGGAAGAAGCATACCGATAGAAAGTAAGAAGTAATGTTTTGCATCCTCCAAAGTTTGTACTGCAACAATAGCTAGAGGGATGACAAAATGGAGGGATGCTTTCTCATGAACATGCCATCCAAATAGAAAACCACATGTGTAAGCATAAGCCACCCATCTAGCAACCAGTCCCGGTCGGGGATTCCTCCAGGCTTTAACAAGACAAGGAGATAAAGCCAGTAGGACAATCATGAAGTTTGTGGGGGGAGTGATCTGTCATTATGTCAATTTAAATAAGCAAATCAAGCTTTGGCAGCACAATAAATTTGGATAAGAAAAGGAAAGTGTCAATTCAATCCTACAAGAAGAAAAAAAAGAAAAAGAAACAATTTAACCCATTATCCAAGAAAGTTCATCAAGTCACTGCATGCTATAAAGGCATTGCCGAAATAGAAAAACTAAAAGTGAAACTGCTACAATTAACAGCCATGGTGCTGATTTCTTAGAATTGAGAAAAGTCAACCAGTTAAATAATCTTATGACTCAACCCTTTACCTGGACTAAGCATCAAATACCGTGTACTTACATGCATCCATGTCCATCTTAGTCAAGTTCACAGGAGAGAATTTACCTTCGGGAGTACAGCAAAAGGTGAAGAATCCCCAACTAGTCCGCCACTGAATGAAGCAGTTGGAGTCTGAATATTGAAGCCGAGTTTTCTAAACAAGAAGGCCAGCCCTTTGTCAAGTACAATATAGAAAACCCAAAAGTTTGGCGCCCAATATGCATGGCACAATCCCCTGCCAAAAGGAAACAAGCGGCGAATGACTTGTTGCATCTGCAAGCCATGAAATGAATATTAATGCACTAAAAACCATACAATTTAATAAATGTTTTTTAAATTAATTGGCATTTGGGGAAATCTGAAATTTCTTTAAAAGGCTGTCCACCATTTGGTCTTGCATCCAAGAGAGACGGAGAAGCCTATACTGTTTTAGTGAGTGTTACTACAATTACACATATACATGTCCACAAAAATTTTAAAAAAGAAAAAAGGAAAAGAAAGTAAAGGTTTATACACAACAATTGCTTTAAATTGATTCATGGAATTGAAACTATATATTCTGTTGCCAGAGGAAGGACAGAACACAGACCTAACACCCCGACTTGAGAAACAAGTCAATGGTCAACCCAGATTCTTTTCTTTAAAATATGAATCAGTATGATGCCAAAGTTAGCCAGAGGCTTTTCTATTCTTGAAGACAAGAAAATTGATCATTCAAATAAAAGATTTCACTTACAAACTTCATAAACAAACATGAATAAGATCTCATAATTTGCTAAATTTCAAAACTAGTTACTTTCAAGGTTCAAAGCTCCTGGAATCTTTCTTAGGCAAACAAGAACTACACTGCATAGTGATTACTAATTAAATCTCCTTTTTCGTTCTCTACTGCTAGAATTTGCTTATACTTACAGATCAATTTGATTACAGTGGTTTAATTTTCCAAATTTTGGAAATAATCACTTATTCAGTACACCCATATGCATCACTACAAACCCAAAAAGCGCCCTAGTTTACCAGTAGTAAACAGTATGAAACACATTTAATGAAGAAAACATGTTTAAAATCACTTGAACTGCCATCTCCATGCAAATATCTGTCTAGATAAAAAGAAAGGGCAGCAAGAAGCTCCACTCTCATGACTAAGAAGCAGAAGATAAAACTTAGAAAACTGTTTGATCTCACAGACCAATAATTGAAATGTATAAGCTCACTTACCTGGCCATGGTAGATAAATGGCCCATATGATGCAGCAAAAACTGATAAAACCACTGCACCCATAATCGAAAGCCGCCAGAAACCCTTAACCAGTCCACCCCAACAATAATGCCTCAACAAATACACAAAATAAACTGGAGCAGCAACAGCAAACAAATGCTTGAAACAAAGCAAGACCGCAAAAAGAAACCCGCCCATCAAATCCCTCCCTTTCCTGCAAATACGAAATTGACAGCAACAAAAACCCTAGCAAAAATCCATTATACTGAAAATGG